CGCAGCTCGCCAGGCCTCCATGTCTATCACCAACTCCCGGAGTCCACCCAAACCCATGTCCATCGAGTCGGTGATGCCATCCAACCATCTCATCCTCTGTCGTCCCCTTCTCCTCCTGCCCTCAATCTTTCCCAGCACCAGGGTCTTTTCAAAGGAGTCAGCTCTTTGCATCAGGTGGCCAAAGTGTTGGAGTTTCAGCTTCAACATCAGTCCTACCAATGAACACCCAGGACTGATCTCCTTTAGGATGGACTGGTTGGATCTCCTTGTGGTCCAAGGGACTCTCAAGAGTCTTCTCCAATACCACAGTTCAAAAGCATCAATTCTTTGGTGCTCAGCTTTCTTTACAGTCCAACTCTCACATCCATACATGACAACTGGAAAAACCACAGCCTTGACTAGATGGACCTTTGTTGACAAAGTTAATTCCCTCAGGGAGTGTGAAATATCTATCCTTTGACATGTAACAAAGAGCATGAATTCAGAGCTCAGACCCAGGCTCAAGTCCACTACCTGGGTGAATTACACGTCAGTTTTTTCATGTATAAAACAGAAAGAGAAATAGCATCTGCCTCATTGGAATTGTAAGGAACAGAATTGGAATTCCTCATCGGAATTGTAAGGCACAGAAAAGATGTTAGGACAGTGCTTGTCAAGATAAATTATAGATGCTGTCCTCATTAGAGTATTGTCTCCATCAGTGTCTTCTCCATTGTACCCTATGCATTCTTCCATCTCTCACTATTTGATAGAATTGTCAAAAGATTTAATTATCAGAAGAGAAAAACAGAGAAACAAAAACAGGTTACGAGAAGCCTCACACTGAGGGGAGTCACATAGTATTGGACTGGCCAAAAAAGTTCATTTGGGTTTCTCTGTAAGATGTTACAGCAAAACCTGAATGAACTTTTTGGCCAACCCAATATTTGTTTCAGAACCCATTAGAGTTTCCCAGGTAGAGCAGTGGTAAAGAATCTGCCAGCCAATACAGGAGACGCAAGAGATGTGTGTTTGATCCCTGGGTCAGGAAGATCCCCTGGAGTAGGAAATAGCAACGCACTTCAGTATTCTTGCCTGGAAAGTCCCAGAGCAGAGTTTGTTTGCTTCTGAGGCCATGTCTGAGTTTTGGTCCTAAAGAACTGGTACCATTTTGGAGATAGCTGGCCTAGATTTCCTTCTTCTTTGCCTGTTATGACATAGAAGGTAGTCTGGAGCTCTCTTCTCAACATTGCACCTTCGCTATTGCTTTTTGATACACACAGTGTCATCTCCCTTTCTTTTCCTGCCAAATCAACAGCTTCTTGCACTGCAAATACTTTCTCTTCCTTACTGGTACTCTCTTCCTGACTGGCAGATGGATAAGACCTGGAGTCATTATATTTGCTGTCTAGGTTGTCCACCCACCGGTTTTGACTCTTTTGTGGAACTCCTGCTACATTAATGTTCTTGAGGTTGAGATCTGGAGCCTTTAGGTGATTAAATTTTTCTATGTGCTTTACATTTCACATTCAACAAATCTTTCACATTGAATATGAAATAAACCAACAACTCCTCCTAGTTTATTTTAGCCTTGGAACACCAACATATGCATGCATACATGCATGCTCAGTGGTGTCCAACTCTTCGGGACATAGACTGTAGACTGCCAGGCTCCTCTGTCCATGGGATTTCCCAGGCAAGAATACTGGAGTGGGTTGCCATTTTCTCCACCACAGGATTGACCCAACCCAGGGATTGAACCCATGTCTCCAGCGCCTGAACTGCAGCCAGGTTCTTCACTACTGAGTCACCCAGGAAGTCAACTAATGTATAGAATCAGAAATTTCATTCCTCTCAGAACAGGATGGCAATGAGCTCCCCTGTCAGTAAAGAGCTTTCAGTGTTATTAATTACAATTCTGGTGACTAAAAGAAAGCCGCAGCTCTTTTCATTGATTTTACATGATCCCTGGGTTTTTAATTTCCCCACCTCTTTGTGCCAATCCTTCTATTTATCCTTTTGTCTCTTTCTTTCTCCCTCTCTTTCTCCTCACATATACATTCTTAAACACCTTCTGTGAATCAGACTCTCAGTGATAAAGCCTGAGCAAAACTGACCACCTTCTTATTGTCATGGGGCTTACAAATCTAATTGGGAGTTGAGACATTCATCAAATAATCCCCAAATCTGTAATTTCAAAGAGCACTGAGTGCCATGTAGGAAAAGAGAGGACCCAGTGAGAAATCTGTGTAGGTGAACATTTCATCCAGAAAGAGGCAGCTGAAGGGTACATCCAGGAAACAGCAGCTGAGCTGAGATGGGAATGATGGGGAACAATTAGCCAGGCATCTCCCCTCACATAGAGCTCTGGGTGGGCAGAGACCCAGACTGTCATAGCACCAATCCTGGGTCCGCTGGACAGAAATGCTCATAAATAGTTGTGGGAAGAAAAGACCGCGTGAAAAATATAAATCTGAAAATGTGCTCTGCTTTGTGCTGTGCGTAATCAATTAAGAAATTTAACTGTTAATAGTTCAAAGAAATTCAAAGCAGAAGACAGAGAGGAGAAAGTGGCACAAATGAGGTTAAAGAAATAGGAGCTAAATCACACTGAGGCCTGTAAGGATAGGTAGGGATTTGGGTCTTTATCCTCACACAACTGGAAGCCACTGAAGGGTTCTTTTTTTTTTTACTGCTGTGCTAAAGACCTTACTTGCGTGATTTTGTTTAATGCTTGATGCAATTCTATGATAGTACAATTATCATCCCAATTTTACAGTCTGAGGACTCCGAGGTATAGAGAAGGTAAGTTTGCTGAACACTGTTAATAAGTGGCAGAGGCTTGACTCCAAAACCCCTACTCTTAACCATTAAAGCACAGATGCTAGGAACAAGAATGAGGAGGTAAGCAAGTATGAACAGCTGATTCTAATCTCCTTGGAAGGACTAGTCTCACTGTGGAGTTGGTAGCATAGGGGTATATAAAGGCTTAATGACCTAATAACTGAATTTAATCCCCTTGTTCTGATTCCATATTAATCAAATAACTTTCTAATTATATTCTGGATTCCCCTATAGATTCTTCTGCTGGAAGATCATGCACTGACCAGCCTACACAGGCAACTTATTTCCGTTGCAAATTTTATTACATATTGTAAGCTAACTGGCATTGTTTTAAAAAAAAAAGGTGAAATACTCTAAAACAAACAATAAATTATGAAAGTATTAGTTTTTCCACGAAGTTAGTCTGAAAAATATAAACCAATAAAACAGCACATATATTGTCTCTTTTGTGATTTAGCCTTTTCTTGTTCCCTGCTTCGAGGGAACACGGATGTGGTCACAAAGTCTAAAGATGAGCCCTTTTTTTAAGTTCTTTGTCAGAATCCCTAGTGCTTCCATTGTTTCCCAAACAGCAAACCGCCTCCCCCTTGCCTCTCGAAAACCGAAGAGAGGATTGTTCTTCCGAACTTCTCTAATTCTCTGAGCCACAAGCAGCTGGAGCTGCTGCAAGGGGTCTTATTCATCTCCCAAGGGTAACAAGCATCTTATCCTAGAAGCAGGCGGTTTCCTAATAACATCATTAAACCCAATGCTCACGTGCTCGGGGTCACCGCAACAGCAGCAGCCACCCCCCCTCCACCCCCCACCTCCCATCCTCGGCCCCCTCCGGGCCCTGCACCGTGTCCGTGTCCGCTGCCCCAAGGGCGGGAGGAAGTGACACGGGCCCACCCACCACTTGTGGGTCTTTCCGAACGGGATCCATGAAGCCGGTCCCCGACTCCCTGCTCCTCGCTGGCTCAAGTTTGGTTTTGTTCTTTTTTCTTTCCCTAGAATTCCTTTAATGGGCAAAATTGGCACACACGCAGGTGGACATTATATAAAGTGAAAGCTTCGGGAAACAGACCATTCGTTTCACCTTGATCTGCTGAATCACATACAAGGGCGAAAGAGACTCCCCCCGCCCCCACCCCTACCCCCCGATATTTAACAGTCTCTTGCACAGAAAACTGAAACGACCCTCTAAACATCGACTCTTTTTGTCCCCTCCAAGACATTAAAGTCAGCAAGTGCAAGGTCAGCCTCGTGAGCAGCCTCCTTTCTCCGAGGACAGGCTGGAGCCCAAAAGGCCGAGCGCAGCTTCTGCCGTAGGGTCTGCAAAGGGTAAGGCCTTTCTCCAAAACTCTAGCGCGGGGGGCGGCAGTCGTTAAAATTGATGCCAGAACTCTCGTTATTCCGTTTTTCGGCCATTTTCATCACAGAACCATTAACTAAGACATTGCTAGCCATTGGACGGCCCCCCGCAGGACTGCCAGCCGCCGGCAGCGCGCAGGGAAGGGAGGCACAAGGCCGCGCGAAGGCTCCTACGGTGACCGGCCAAGATGGCCACTTTCACGTGGCTGTGGGCCACCAGACTCCCCGTCACCCGGGCATCCCCAGGCAGGGCAGCCGGAAAGACCCTCGGGCAGAGCCAGAGGACAAAACCCTCGTCGATTCCCTAGGCCACCGCTGGGGGACGCGACCTTGCGGCCAGACAGCCGGGCCAACGGTCGGGAGGGAGGTGCCATGTCACAGCACAGGGGAGCAGGCCCATTAAGCCCTTGTCTGTCGTCCTCCCCCGTGGCTCACGAAGAGTACGGTGACCCTGTATTCTTGTCTTTCCCCCCACCTCTTGTTTTTAGTGCTTAAGATGGCGAATATTCGCAGGAGGGGCGCGTTACCCCCGCTCCCTCCCCCTGCCCGGGACAGTGGTTCGGCCCGAGCTCCTCTCTGCGCACCGCCCCTTCCTTCTTCCCGCGTCCCCGCGCGAGTGGCGCATTGGCGCCGGGCGCCGAGGGGCGGGGCTCGGCTCGGGCGCGCGCGGGCCCCGTGTATAAATACTGGGCCGCGCCGCCCGCCGTCTCGTTTGCTCCGCGCCGCCCGCCTGAGCTAAATAGACTGCTGTCTTCTGCTCGCGCACTTCGCAGTCTTGCCGCTCCCTTTTCTTCTCTACGCCACTTTCACTTACCACCACCACCACCATGAACGGACAGCTCAACGGCTTCCACGACGCGTTCATCGAGGAGGGCACGTTCCTCTTTACCTCCGAGTCCGTGGGGGAAGGCCACCCAGGTGAGGTGACGGGCCCTGGAGCCAAGCGATGGGCGGGGTGCGGGATCGGACCTGGCTGGTAGGACCCGCTAGCCGCGGTGTCCACGCCAGTGACTCTTCCCGGCTGGTGGTGGGAAGAGCGGCGGCCGCGCGCCTTCCTCGTGGCGCCGCCAGTGCCGAGCGCGTGGCCGCCGCTCCCTCCCCCGCCTCTCTTCCCCTCTTCCCATCCGGCCGCGCGCCCCGGCATGCGGAAGATTCCAGAAAACGAGAAGGGCGGGGGCCGCGGCCGCTCGTGCTCCTGCCGAGGAGGGCTCTATTTCCTCCTCTCCGCCCTGCGTGCCGAGCCACCTCGAGTGGGCGACCCGCCCCGCGTGCTCGCGTCCGGCGCGCGGGAGCGCGCCCCGCATTGCAGCCGCAACCACGTGTTTGCCGCATGTGGCTTCTGGGCGAGGGAGCCGGCCGGTTTGCAGAGCGCAGCCCGGGCTTCGGGGAGTCCGCGCTCCCCATTAATTCCTTGGCTACGGTGAAGGATACGACGTGCCCTTAGCCAGTATATGGTTTGGCGTCAAGGTGACAGCCTCCAACTAAATATAGCCCTTGTCGGAGGAGCCCTGCCTTATTTGGATCGCGCGTGAAAAGGACAGGAAACATGAATTGAGTGCGAGGCGCCATTGCAATGGAGCTGACCGTTAAGCAGGGTTTTACTCCACGCATCCTACGGGCTTTGTCCAGCGCTCCGCCATTACGGGGATCAATTTACACGCGAAGGAGTGAAGCAATACCAAGGGACTTTCGGTCGCAGCCTGAAAACCTCGTATGGTGAAGATCACAGTTTTACTAGTCTGATCCAGATCTTTATTAGGATGACCACAATGACAGATGTCGTCAGATGGCTTAAGGAGCCATTTCTCTCTAGTAAGCCTACCGTGCCGATGGTGAAACGCCACGAGCGACCTAGTGGTCTACGGGAGGACAGACCCTGAGGTCCTAGTGAGTGACGGTCAGATGTGGTGTGGTGGTTTTGTTTGTATTTTCCCAGTGCTGGGAACATGTGTGTTTGACCCACCTTTTATTAAGTTAAAGCTGCAGGCGTTCGAAAATGTTTGGATTGTTTTAGCCTATGGCATGAGTGCGGTACACGTTTTACTTAAGATTTTTTTGGATGGTTATAGAAAACTTAGGAAAGTAATATTTGGGGAGCTGTATAAATGAGTGGAATACCAAGGATTCAGAATACATTTGGGTATTTTCCAACCTACTCAGCTCTTGATCCTGGATTACTCAACACAGAATCAAATTGTTGCCGATAATCAAATTGTTACCCCTTTGTTCGTGAAGTGTCCTTGCTTTCATCATTTAACTCTTTAAGTGACATTTTCTCTCACTTCCCTAATTGGTGTTCCTTAGAGGATCATGGAGAAATTGATACACAGACCACACTTTGCCTTAGATTTATAATGAGAATTTTAAACTTGGGGGATAAAATGTAAGTATTGTTGTCTTTGAAAATTAATACGGTAAAGATAAATGTTCCTTGTTTTGCTTTTGATTGGAAGAAAGCCACTTTTTCTTTCTACTTTCATTTGAATCTCCGTTATGTGGCTGTTCTGTATAACAATGAAAATTGGTTTTGCCTGGGAACTTTAGTTTTTCAAAATGTTTGAAATAGTGGAAAGATGGGACTGATGTCCTTGTTGTATTAAACATGCTAGGTGTTCTGCTGGCCTACCTGAATTCGTGATCTTGTTGTACAGCTATAGCAAAAAAAACCAGGGTGTCAAGTTGGAGACATGTATCACTGTATCCAGCACTCTTCAGGAAAATGGTTTCTGCAGAAGGAATGCTTTACTTAGATGGCAGTTAGGTATGCTGTTGAAAATGGTTAAATTGATAACTTTTATGTTACATAGGTTTTGACACAATTTGTAGGGGGTGGGGTGCTGTGCTGTGCTGTGCCAAGGGCATTGTGGGATAGAGCCCTTGCCCCCTCCTGTGGAATAGTGGAGTCCTAACCACTGCATGGAGGGAATCCCTGCCACAATTTTGGAAGAAAGCATTCACAAAGATCTTAACAGCTATAGTTATAGAGAGGGAGGCATGACATACTTATATTAGTAGTAAATTAAAGAAATTGAGCCAGGAATTTTTTTCCCCCCCCAGATAAGATCTGTGACCAGATCAGTGATGCTGTCCTTGATGCCCACCTTCAGCAGGACCCTGATGCCAAAGTGGCTTGTGGTAGGTTCAGAACACTTCTCACATGATGAAAAATAGCATGAAAGTTAACTTTATAAAATGATGTTTGAGTGTCAACATCTCTTTTGTTAGAAACTGTTGCTAAGACTGGAATGATCCTTCTTGCTGGGGAAATTACGTCCAGAGCTGCTGTTGACTACCAGAAAGTGGTTCGTGAAACCATTAAACACATTGGCTATGATGATTCTTCCAAAGGTATGTTTTAATGAGTTAACTTTCTAACCTCATTTTTTCAGATATTTTCTTCAGTCCTCTTTAGCTCTATTTTATTGAGTGTTCCTGGGAATATTTAATTCCACCTGTATACTTTTACTGTACTTTTGTTCTGGCCCTATGCTTTTCTCTAAAAGTACTACATTTAGGTATATTTTATTTCTTTAGCAGTATTTAGAGTTCCAGATAATTGTTGTAAATTTAAAAATATTGCTATGGCCCTTAAAAAAACACACATTGTTTTGTTTATAGGGTTTGACTACAAGACGTGTAACGTGCTAGTGGCCTTGGAGCAACAGTCACCAGATATTGCTCAAGGTGTTCATCTTGACCGAAACGAGGAAGACATTGGTGCAGGAGACCAGGTATCTTGGTAGACATCTGTTTGCATCTCTTCTTCTAACAACTTTTGAAGCTTGGATTGATTGCATTGGTGACTTTTCCTTTTATAGGGTTTGATGTTTGGTTATGCCACTGATGAAACTGAGGAATGTATGCCTTTAACCATTGTCTTAGCACACAAGCTCAATGCCAAACTGGCTGAACTACGCCGGAATGGCACTTTGCCTTGGTTACGCCCAGATTCTAAAACTCAAGTAAGTGATGAACATTGTAAACCTACACCCATTAACACTGGCACAGGACATCAGTAAGGTGGTTTGATTAAAGCTAAGAGAAGAATAGCATTTGTTCTCTGTACTGTAATGTAGGGTAGGGAACCAAGAACAAAGCTATTGTTTAGTAGACTGATGTTCTGATGTTTGGCTTTCAAGGTGACTGTACAGTATATGCAGGATCGAGGTGCTGTGCTTCCCATCAGAGTCCACACAATTGTTATATCTGTTCAGCATGATGAAGAAGTTTGTCTTGATGAGATGAGAGATGCCCTAAAGGAGAAAGTCATCAAAGCTGTTGTACCTGCAAAGTACCTTGATGAGGACACAATCTATCATCTACAGCCAAGTGGCAGATTTGTTATTGGTGGGCCTCAGGTAAGGCCTTACAATTTCAGTTTAATTTGCCTTTTTTTTTTTTTTTAATCTGTCATGGTTACTTGGAAAAACCTGGCTCCTTTCCACCTTTTTCCTAGGTTTTTTGAAGCCTGCGTGTGAATCTTCTGAGGATGTTTGCCAAGTGATACTGAATAAGCATTTAACAGGCAGGCCTGATCTAGAACCACTGGAAAGGATTGGGCATAAAGTAATTTAAATTCTGTAATTTCAGGGTGATGCTGGTTTGACTGGCCGGAAGATCATTGTGGACACTTACGGTGGTTGGGGAGCTCATGGAGGAGGTGCCTTTTCAGGAAAGGATTATACCAAGGTGGACCGTTCAGCTGCTTATGCTGCTCGTTGGGTGGCAAAATCCCTTGTTAAAGGAGGTCTGTGCAGAAGGGTTCTTGTTCAGGTATATATTTTCCTATTACTGGGTTCACTAAAAGGTGTGTAAGTGGGAGGATATTTAGCAGTTAACTACTTGTCTTTTTTTTATACCAGTCTGTTACACAGTGTGTGGGTCTTTTGCTCACTGATTTCTTAATGATATTTAAATTCTTTTAGGTCTCTTATGCTATTGGAGTATCTCATCCATTGTCTATCTCCATTTTCCATTATGGCACCTCTCAGAAGAGTGAGAGAGAGCTATTAGAGATTGTGAAGAAGAATTTTGACCTCCGCCCTGGGGTCATTGTCAGGTAAAGATGGTAAAGCCTATTGCTAGTGAAAAACATTGAGGGTGTGGGTGTGTATATATACTTGATACATTCAGATCTTGGAAGGCGAAGGTGTGAAGGAAGACTCAAGTGGGGAAACATCTTAATTCCTAGAATGTGTTAATATCATCTTAGAAAATTGCCTTCAGTAGAGGCTTAAATTATTAGGAAGAATCTAAAATTCTAGTGCTCCATGGCTTAGACTAACCACCCTAGAAAAGTTTTCCACATTTGATACCGACTTGTGCTCCTGTTACCTGAGGGATGTTTACTTAAAGGAATTTTTAGTACAGATAAATGGGATGTACATGGCTGTTACAAAGAAAATAACCTTGGTAGGGTGTGGGCATGGGACCTTGGTAAGTATTCCATGACTTTAGATGAGTTTTTGATACTTGAAATTTCTCCAAATAATGACAAGTTTTCATATTTGTTGAGCCAGGGACGGAAAAACGAGAACTATAGTTACTGATAAGGACTGTGCAAGGAGTTTTGGACACCAGGGAAGTAACAAATACTTTTGCCACAAACTTCTTTCCTAGCATACCCCAGAGAACTGAACTCATTTGCCAGAAGTCTTGAAAATGAGTCTTGCTGATTGTTTTGCTTTACTTTAATTGAATGCTACATATTAAGTTACGGACTTGTATATTCCAGGGATCTGGATCTGAAGAAGCCAATTTATCAGAGGACTGCAGCCTATGGCCACTTTGGTAGGGACAGCTTCCCATGGGAAGTGCCCAAAAAGCTTAAATATTGAAAGTGTTAGCCTTTTTTCCCCAGACTTGTTGGCGTAGGCTACAGAGAAGCCTTCAAGCTCTGCGGGAAAGGGCCCTTCTTCCTAAATTTTCCTGTCCTCTTTCAGCTCCTGATCAGTTGCAGTCACTCTATAGTCAATGACATGAATTTTAGCTTGTGTGGGGGACTGTAAGTTGGGCTTGCTATTCTGTCCCTAGGTGTTTTGTTCACCATTATAATGAATTTAGTGAGCATAGGTGATCCGTGTAACTGCCTAGAAACAAATCAACAGCATTGTAGTAAATAATGCTTTGAAATTGAACCTTTGTGCCCTATCACCCAACCTTCTAAAATCCTAATTGCATTGACTCTCCCACCAAATGCTGAAAATGTCCTTGTAATGTGCACGTAAAGTACTTGTAGTTCCATGATAGCTTCTCGTCTGGCAATGCCACAGCCCTGTCAGCATGAATTTGTAATGTCTTGAGCTCTATTATGAATGTGAAGCCTTCCCTTATCCTCCCTATAACTTGATCCACTTCTAATTATGTAGCTCTTTGTCAGGGAGTGTTCCCTATCCAATCATTCTTGCATGTAACGCAAGTTCCAGTTGGAGCTCTAGCCTGACATAAAAAAAAAAAAAAGGCAGTTACCATTAAACCATCTCCCTGGTGCTTATGCTCTTAATCGCCATCTCTTAAACAGCACCAAATCAGAATCTCTCCACTTTCAGCTGTCTTTTGGAGGACGTACGTAATAAGGTTTTTAATTTAGTAAACCAATCCTATGCATGGTTTCAGCACTAGCCAAACCACCAATTCCTAGCTCTAGAAAAACAGGCACTTGGCACCCTTGTGATGTCATACAGAGAAGTCACAGGGCAGTACCTGAGGGTCTGTAGGTTGCACACTTTGGTACCAGATAACTTTTTTTTTTTTCTTTATAAGAAAGACTGAGTACTCCACACTGCACAAGAACTCCTCCCAGGGTTTTAACTTTGTTTTATTTTCAAAACCAGGTCCAATGAGCTTTCTGGACAGCTGGTGTAGCTACAGAGAAACCAGCTTCCTTCAGAGAGCAGTGCTTTTGGCGGGGAGGAGGAAATCCCTTCATACTTGAACATTTTCTAATTGCTTATTTATTGTATTCTGGGGTATGGCGTAAGTACAGAGAAGCCATCACCTCAGATGGCAGCTTTTAAAAGATTTTTTTTTTTCCTCAACACCATGATTCCTTTAACATGTTTCCAGCATTCCCAGGTAGGCCAAGGTGTCCTACAGAAAAACCTTGGGTTAGACCTACAGGGGTTCTGGCTGGTGTTAACAGAAGGGAGGGCAGAGCTGGTGCAGCTGGCCATGGAGAAAGCTGACTTGGCTGGTGTGGTACAGAGAAGCCAGCTTGTTTACATGCTTATTCCATGACTGCTTGCCCTAAGCAGAAAGTGCCTTTCAGGATCTATTTTTGGAGGTTTATTACGTATGTCTGGTTCTCAATTCCAACAGTTTAATGAAGATCTAAATAAAATGCTAGGTTCTACCTTACCTGTGTCCATTATTTGTATTCTGGTGGTATGTGGGATGGTTTCCCAACCAGGGGTTGAACGTGGACCTCTGCAGTGGAAGCACTGACTCCTGGCCACCAGGGAACTCTTCCCGCCATTATTCTTTTTTTTTTTTTCCCCCCCCATTATTCTTAAGTGTTTCAGTATGAGTATGAATTAAACATATTTTAACCCTGAGTAATTGTAATCCCACCCATGGTTTAGGGAAATCACTTCAACCTTGACTATAGGCCTGGTGTTTAAAAGGTTCATAAATTGTATTCCCGACACCAAGGAGAAAGTTCAAGGTTTGTCCAGCACTTCCTTTTTTGGCCAACACAGTGGGCAAAATTCATGTCTTACAACGGTCATTTCTGCACTATCAGCAGTGCTTTAAAGGCATAAAAACCATTAAAATGAGTATCATGTGAGAAGAGTGATATTTTAAACCAATTTTCAGTGTTTTGAAAATGTAAATTTGATGTCTTAAGTTCACCTTGTATATAAATCGGTTAAAGGTTGCAAGTTATGTACTACAGTTTGAAAAGTGTTTTTAAACAACTGAGGGACCAGTTTCTCATACAATGGATGAAATTTAAACAAAACTGCAGTGAGGATGTGTATTCTGAATTTGTTGCAGTTATGCAGAATACTCATCAACCAGCTCTTGAACCATCCTTTCTTGAGCTGCATGGCCCATGTATACACCAGCAAATATGAAATCAAATGGTTGAAATGCTTTACTGTTGCAAATGAGGCCCAAGCAATGCCTGCTTGTATCTGTTTGCCTGGAGGGCTAAAAGTTTAGAAACAGATTAGGGAGGAAAGGCAAGCTTAAGTATTGTGTCTGACTTTGCGACCCCATGAATCAGCATGCCAGGCCTCCCTGTCCATCACCAACCCCCAGAGTTTATGCAAACTCATGTCCATCAAGTTGGTGATGCCATTTAGCCATCTCATCCTCTGTCATCCCCTTCTGCCCCCAATCCCTCCCAGCATCGGGGTTTTTTCCAGTGAGTCGACTCTTCGCATGAGGTGGCCAAGGTTAAATCTTAGAGGAGTATAAACTCTTGACCTGCTGTGAAACTTGAGAACCTAAAACTTTTCATGACTTTGAAAAGCTCCAGGATACCAAAAAGCTTTTAGATGGCCAAGACACTGCTGTCTAACGATGTTGGTCAAATAATGATGGTGAGGATAAAGCATCTGTAGGTTGGTGAAGCAGCATGAGAGAAATAATGGCCTTAAAAGTTTGATTCAGCATTTACTAGGATGATGCCTGTTGTCAAGGAGCTTGCAGACTAAGAGTGACAAAGGTGGCTTGTCCTCTGCCTAGACCTGGGGTAGAGGTTGGGGATTAACAAGCCCAGGGAGGCTACTAGGTGCAAAGGCATGAAACAGTGATGGTGGTTACAGCTTGAGAATCAAAAGCATAAAGTGCTAATAATGAAAGGGAATGTGAAACATGTTTAAGTTGAAAATCATACTTTTCTACAGTTTCAAGGGGGATGACACTGGTCAGGGACAAAAGACCTAAATGCTGGCCTATGGTAGGAAGCAAAGCCTTCTGGCTAAACATTTCAGTATTCAGACCCTGGGTCTGAATACTGAAACCTGGAGAACCCAGATTTTCTCCAGTGAACAGTTGTTCTTAACAGTATTAGGTACCCACAACATTGTCACTTGGAAAATGAGACAGGTGGTACACTAACAGTTGGGGGAAAGTAACATCCTTGCCTGTATCAAGAAAAATACTTCTGTAAGAGTTCCCTTCCAAAATGAACTACTTTTATTTCCACCAAGTAAAAAGGAGGGTGGGGCAGCAGTTATGGGGAAGGACACAGTGCCAAGGTATATCGTGTCACAGGGGATCTGCAGAAAGACTGAAAACCAGTGTTCCCATGCATGGTTCTTAGCAAAGTGCCCTGTGCCACAGCCATCTCTAACCCACAAAATGCCTTGTGTGAATCACAGGAACTTACTGCCAGGCTCCACATGGATCAGTTGAGTGCACTTAGGCCCAATCTCCACAACTCCCTGGCAGCCCTGCTCTGATCTGTTTCACTGGATTCCAGTATAAAGGCTGAATGGACAGAGATAGGAGAGATGAATTCAACAGATCCAAAAAGTAAGAGGTAGAACTGATGGGCCTTGAAATCTTAAGAAATGGAAGGAAAATGGAAGAATAAAAAAAAAAAAAAGCTGCCATTCAGTAATAAAGAAGCAGGTCTGAGTTGTGGATGAACGCATCTTCTGTTATGACAGTTAAAACCTGGGATAGCCAGGTGGAGCTAGATAAACAGGTCTAGAGCACAGCAAAGAAATTAAGCAGCGGCATCCCTGGAAACCATGGAGTAGACATAATCATCCCAAGTGTGTATGGTGAAAAGGCAGCCACCTAGGAAAGAACCCTGCGATTGGATGGAGTGGAGCATGGGAAAAGAAGACTGAAAACAAATGCGATCCTTTATCAAAGTAACTGGGATTGCCAGCCTGCTGCCGCTGGTCTCTGCCTCCACACAGGGTTCCCAATAGGGTTCCCAAACGGCCTGTTTTGGTTTTGTTTGTTTCTACTGCTAATTATGCATTCTCACTTCCTAGCCCAGTGCCAGGCCTTTGAATTTTAACAGAATTGAGGATCTTCCTGAATCACATCCAAACCTTACATATCATGACTGTAAACATCCCCTGATTTCATTACATTTGGTTAAATCTCACTTTACATCACCTCCTGCTCATTGAAAGCTAGAATAATGCTAAATACTCAGCTTATTTTTTAGATATATACCACTATTAATCATCTAAATTCTGTTATCAGTTTAACTTTCTGCTATTCTATGCTCATAACCCCTAGTGAAAAACTGGCTGTATAAACAATAGGAATAAAAAAAGAATCAAAATTGCAGTGAAGAGAAAATTACCCTGCATCTAAAACCTGATCACATCCTAATCACACTTTATAACCAGACAAGTTTTAAGCTACGTTATTTCAAAATTACTGTCAGTGATTCTGAAAATTTTAAGAGGCAGGGTGCAGGACCTTAAGACGAGGTTCGGACCATCAGTCAGTCTATCCCTTATTAGGTATACGTCTTTGAGTGAATTATACTACCCCTCAGCCTCAGTTTCCCCAACCACAAAATAGGGCTTATGGCTCTTAAGGAGTAAGTGTAATAATGCTGGCACAGGGCTTCACATAGTGCCTGTATATGGCAAGCACTTAGCAGCTATTATTTTCATGGAACATTAACTCTCTTTTGGCAAGGAGCAAGTCACTTTAAACCTTCTTCTTACCCCTTGAAAGACATCTTCACATTGTTTTTTAGCCCCACTGCCCAAGACCCTCAACCTTGGAATTCATAAATCTTATCCTTGCTTTATTTCCTTGTCCCTCTAATCTATCCTCTCGGAATTTATTACAGCCGTGGATATGGAGGAAAAACAAAAAATCTGAAGTAGTTTTTTCACATGTCCACTGCCTA